AGCATTAATTACTTGATAAATTTGTGTTTTACAAATGCATGCAAAGATTATGTAGCCGTTGGGTACAGATCGGTCTGGTTTACCAGTGAAATCCGCATTGACCTAGCCTGTTACAATAAGGATGAGGTGATGGTGATCCTTCACACTATATTCTCAGAGACTTACGACATATTTGAAGGATATCTGTTTAGACAGATACAGGGTGCCAGTCGCGATATAGCGGACCTCACGCTGTCCGTGATGGAATATCGCTATATTACCAAACACCCCATTGACTATGCTTCTTCCGATACATAGACGACATACTAGCAATCAACTCTCCTCAGTTCAGTGAACTCGCCAGAGACATTTGCGGGACCACCCTCACGCTCAACACCACCTATTCTGGGCAGTATGCCTGCTTTCTTGATCTGGTCATCCACTGTACTAGTGGGCAGTGTGCGTTTGACGTTTACAATGAAATATTGAACTATCCCTTCAAGGTTAACCAAGCAAACCACCCCGATAGTGATGTTGACCCGATTATGCATGGTGACATCATTATGTCTCGACTACTACGGTACGTTAGGATTTGTAATACAATCCGCAAATTCGCGTGGTGGGCTAAACGACTTATAAGCATATATAAAAGCCGGGGATACAACATTAATTGGATGTACAGAGCAATGTTAAAATTTAACTACCGCAATCAAGTCCTTCTGAGCAAGTTTTTTGACGCAAACTACCAAGGTATTAGGAATCTATGTCATACGTTAACAGAGTCAGCACTTATTACTAATCACATTACGCTACACATGCACAATCGACCTGAGCTTAACTGGTACTTAGTTTACTTTCTATTCTTACAGAATCTCAACAATTTGTCTATGCCTATATCATTCTCTTCTCTTCTAAACTATCTAACATGTCCTCAATTACATAGCGAAATGGGGCACTGTACTGATGATTCCCACCCCCTTTCGCACCAATTTAGTCGTCTGTGTTTATAGTTCAGGAATGAAACACAGACGTCACCCAATGCAAATATCGGTTAGTTTAAATGAGATTATAAAATTTGGCTTCTTTTCAGAATATTAAATGAACATATTCCACTATTCTATTCCTCTTTTCTCTTCCAACCCCCATTTTATTTCATTTATTTTGTCGCTGCACTTTGACAGCAGTAATGCTACTCTTTCTGAGACTTAATACAGTGCTTGCAGTGTTTCGACCAAACACTGTTCGCGATAAAACAAAAGCTTATGTGTGTCGTATCGTACAAAAAAAGATTTTCTTTAATAACAACTTCATCATTGATAAATTTCATCGTCAGGAGGTAGAGAACTATGCTCTCTAAGTGGATGTGGAAAGATCTATAAATGGATGTCGAAAGGTCTATAGCTTCTTGTTCTAAAGAGTGAGGCTTACCAGACTGAAAACTTTTTGAATTTCGAGTGCCCTTACCTAGTTTGTAGTTTTTCGGAAAGAAAAGTGGAGGTAGAAAACAGTTGCATGTACCAGTCCCTAGTAACAGCCACATACGGTTTGTCTTCCCCGGTAAGTATGGAAACATGTATGTATGAAGCTGAAAACTGTAGTTTTAAAGATAATTCAGTTCTCATATGGACACCAGAGCGGACTCAACGCTGTCAATTCATTAGAATTCAAAAATGGAAGGGACACATTGTAGGAAATGCTTGATTGGCAGAATCGAAAGAAATCGCCCTCTCTTTTACGAGTGAGACAGCGCAGATAAGAGACTGTGATCGGAATTTGATAATCAGTGGTCAAAGTTGTGCCGTAGATGCACAAGAATTTAATAATCAATAAAGAGCGAAGCGCAAGGTAAGGTTCGCTTCTTTTGCTGGTATAGTCACGAGTGATCAATTATTTTCACAGTTACAAGCTTTAGAAGCTGAACTAGCCGAATCACTAATGTTTTCTTTTCAACATTCACTAATGACAGTTTGTGAAAATATGCGAATGATGACGGCGCAGATAAAAACATCTCTTATAATTAATCCAACGCTTGCGGCAAGAGCTTTACTAGACAGGACAGATATCCAGGCCGACGACATTCCTTGAGGCATGGCCTATATTTCTTTCTAGCAAAGTCTGTACAGATTTGTGGCGGTGAATGGTTCAAACTGCTTTGAATTTCCAAGTTTAGAATTCACTCTTTATGGGATGACATATCAAAGTTTCTTAGATACCCGAACTACGATCATATCGGAGTCTGCGAGGAAGATACCATCACGCAGAAAGATCGCACAAATCCGACATAATTTTCATTTCTCCGAATTCAATTCTGTTCCTAACACGATTTTTCATAACTTGATAATCGCCAAATTTAGCGAAGCGTTTCCATTTTATCATTTAGATATGACAGCGGTGACGCAAGCAGTTGAAAAACACATTAGCCATCACACAACCGGAATAGTTTTTCGCCAGCTTAAAAGACTATAAAATCTTGCTTTCAGATAGCCCCAGTTCGTTTGATTTTGCAGTTTTTCTTGTCGAATACTGCCGCTGCTTCTCTGGAGGAACCACAATTGGGTGTCTTCGTCAGCTACGATTAGGACGTTGTTGAACTTAAGGTGGGGGTCACGTGGAAATCCCGGAATGGTGAAATAGCAACCAGAGGCATGAAGTACCTTGCTCCCTTCGAACAGCCGTGCGGCAGATTGCGGTGTGACATAGCTCTCGCCAGTAAAGAAAAACTTTAAGAGGCCAACTTAGAGGGCTTCTCCCACAGTACCAACCTTGTTAAGTCCACTGAGTCAATGCACGTGTGGTAAAACACAGGCCGGTACTCCATGGGTCACCAGTTCCAAATGAGTGGGCTCGTACAACCTCTCCCTTCTCCCTGCTCACCCATGTTACAACAAAAAACGACATCTCCCGCCTTCGACTCCCAGATAACATCAAAAAAAAGGTTTCCCTACCCCTTTCCTAAGTTACACTAAAACACGATTATACTAAAAGATCAATTGATTTTCCCCCACCCAGCTGTTCCACTGGTTTGGTGTAACGATACATAAAAGTTTCTTGCCTCACCAAAAAATCGATGGCGATACATGTAAAATATACAGAACACGTTTTTTATATGTACGATAGATCCGTATTAAATGTGTGATGAATTTTTGTTTACATTTGTTGAAACGGCCAAAAATCACCAATATATGTAATATAAATCAAGTATCTGTGTAATAAGCATCAAGAGTATATGTAATAATATGCGTCAACTGTACAAGTAACTTACATTGTAATGGCTGATGAGTGACTGGCGTATGGGTATCCTACATTATATAAAATGTTTGTAGCAGCAACCATTACATGAGCAGTCTTTCTACCATTAGATGTTTTTTTTTTTTTTTTT